TAAAGAGATATATTTTAGGATAAATTTCCTAACCCAGCAGCCCAACACACCAATGCTGATCCGTGTCTCCTCACGTAGTAAATAAGCATTTACGCGTTCTTTCTAGTTTGTTTGATAGCACCTGGCTTACATTTTGTCTGCCATCTCTGATTACTTATGCAGATGCCCCAAGGACTCATTATGATGTCAAAGCTTAACACAGTTTCATTGTGAAAACTGGCATAGAAAAATCATTGTGTGTGCCTGAACAATGCAGGTGTGAGAGAGACAGCAAGAAGAGAGGGAAGCCAGAGAGACAGCTAGGGACAGAGTCACAGACAGCAGACAGGAGGGGGTGGGGAGAGGGGGATGGAGAGACAGAGAGAGGCAGAGACGCGGAGGACACAAAGCCCCTTCCCGCTGAAGCCACTCGGCCTCGAGCACAGCCCAACGTGAGAAGAATGTGTGTCTGCCACCTTAAAGTAACCTGACATCGAAAAATCATACAGTAAATTAGTATAAAAGTATTTGCCATTATTCCTTGTACAAGTTATGACCATTATAGGCAGTGTTTTTCATTTGTGGGGTATGCCAATTTAAAAAAAATATATATATATATATATATACACACACACATATATATATCTGTCACACATAGTATATGCATGTGATTTACCCTTTACCAGTTCAAAATAAAAATTTTTAAATATTTTCTTCTTTAAGTTTGTGCTATCTTTTCTCTTTAGTTTGAAATAAGTGTGAATCAATGTCAGGTAAGGGTTATGGGAAAGATCACACTATGATGAAACTTATTTGGTGAAAAATATGTTAATTATTTTCAAGTTTTCAAGTTTATCCTCTATTACCCTCTTCTAAGGCATGCTACATGTTTTTTCAAAGAAAATTTTTTAAAAGGCATTTATGAGAAAAAATTTTTTTAATCTTGAAAATAGGAACATGCATAATACTATTGCAGTCAAATTATGATGCAAACAATTTGATTATTAGAATTTAGGAAAACTGAAAATCTCTTTCTGAATCTGCCACTCATTTGCTTCTTAGGCAGAGTTCTGGTGAGACCTTGCATCGAGGTAGACTTCATGGTTAAAGTACTAGATGCGTTTGAAAGACTGGTTATCGATTGGAAATCACAGTCCTGGACTTCAGGGACCATCCAGCCACACCACATCTCAACATCAGGGCAGAGGGGCCATTACAGGAAAGCATCTTTCTAGTCCCTCTTACCCCACTGAATGGGCTTCTTAATATAAAATTTCTAAGAGGAAATACAGTTTTAAGTTGTCCGAAGTTAAAAATATAGCCACCAAATTGCTTAATGAGTAAAGTGTTTTAGATGATACATTTCTACAAACAATATCTTTCACTGAAATTAGATTGCCCCACAGGTAGAGTTGGAAATATAATTTATATATGTGACTTTGAAAGCATTTTTTAGACAACAAAATGAATTTTCCCCAGAGAAATGGTTGGATTATCTATCAAACATGTAAAATATTTCTAAAAGCAAATCACCAAATAATCAGATTATTAACTCTAAGTTTTGAATTTTAAATATAGTTTTAACAAATAGAAAAACTTTAAAAATCTTTGAGGCCACAAAAGAGCTCATTTCATTCCTTTATCTGTAGAAAGCTGGTGTATAAAAAAGTTGCAAAGCATCAGACAGTGAAATAATTGGGTGTATTCAGTAATGAATCATGAAATGTAAACATTTCTGAGAGTGCAAAAAACAAATGTTAGGTGAAAAGTAAATTAGGTTTAAAATATGACAGGAACAATGAAAGTAATATATTGAAGAAGTCCAGTCTCTGAAAAATATTCATATTTTCCTAAAATCATGCTCATAAAATCCCAAGAAAATTATATACTCACACTTCTGTAGGAATTTTTGTACACCACACATACACGGTCACAAATTATTGGGCCTTCAACCTTGATTTCAGTATCTAACACAGATTTATAAAATTGGCCTAAGTTTTGCTGGAGAATGCAAGTTTAACTCAAGAGAAGTTGAAATATGTGTTTTATGTGTACTTTCTGCCTTACTGGTTCATCTTGGTAATTCTGGCTCATCTTTTAAAAAATGAAATTTTATCAATAATTATATAATAGTTTTCCATTTGAATAACATGTCCGCATTGTTCACAGTTTTCCAACTCACAGCTGCATATATGCAAGTAATTTTGATGAAATCCTGTCTGGTAATTTGAAAAGTAGGGTAAAAATTTTATGTGCAATATAAAGATCTGGAGATTGCCAATCTTTTCTGCCCCACTCCTCAGAACATCCTGTTGTGACCATGCAGCCTTCTCCCCCTTCCACCTCCATGAACAGAGGCATTAAGGTGATGAAACCGAGCCGTCCTCCACTGCCAGTAAACTGGGAGGAAGTCAGTCCCAGCTGAACGTAATTGCTATCAGCAGCGGACAGTTCCCGGTGCTGAAAGGGAAAGGGCCAGAGCTTTGCTCACAATAGCTCACTCAACAGCCTTTAAAAATCACAGCAAAACTGAATGAGGTGGCAAGTGCTCTGGCTGAATAGCACTGTCTGCAGAACAATGGCAGCCAACCCCAAATCCTACTATAATCACATTAATGAGATTAATCAGTGAATTAGCAGCAGTCAAATGTCAGGGAGGCAAGGAAGAATCCAACCAAGATTGGTAATTAACTTTTTTTGGGGGGAGAGCGGGGGTCAGAGAAAAAAATCAACTTTGCTACCTCATAGGTTTCTCAGAAGTTGACAATTTTGCTTCACAAATCTGCAGACTGTATGTACTGATCAAGAGGCAACAGCATAATCCTTCATGTTATAACATAAATCCAGGTATCATATTACTGATGCTTAAAACACAGCCCTCTGAGAAACATGATGTCACTTTAAATAATCTTCATAAACTATCAGGCTTTTACTGTTTTGAATTCTCTAAATGTAAAATTGATTGTTAAAAAGAATTTCTCTAATACTCAAGCTAAAATATAAAAAAATATGGCTGATTAAAAAAGGGAGGATTATATAACAGCTACTATTGCTTCTGAGAAGTCTGTAATACTGTGGGGAGAGTTTTAAAAGTGCCACCAAGTAAAGAGCTATTATACAAACATATCAATTCTGGTCTATTGTATTTGATAAAGAAAATGCATTGCTATATACAACTTTATGGAGAATTTTGACCAATTGACCTATTGCTCTTGAGGTGATAGAATCATACACTTCTCTTTAGGTCAGTTAGAAAAAACAAACTTCCTTTTTTTTTCTAGAAGGTATCAGTAACATTTATTATGTACAATCCACACTTTGGATTCAAAGTTCTTAAGAGGTGAAAACTTACAGGTATTAATATATGAGTGGTGCTGTTTTTTCAAAAAGGAATGTTGTGCAAAAACCCTTTTTCTAATTTGTAAAGTAATCCCATTTCTATCTGTTTATGTTTTATCTAGGGAAAACATGCCTTTATTTATCATTTAAAAAGCCACATGACTTTCATAAAGTTAAACAATTGGAAAGAAAGCCTCCTTTATGCTTGTAAGGGTGGTACAAGTGTGCTTTTGTCTATGAAGTTAGTTTTGTTCAGTAAAAAATACAAACACTTACCCCTAAAATATCCTATTATCACAAACAGTTTTACTCTAACTAAATAAGTAACTTAAAATTCTACAGATTTTTATCATTTTAGAGGTACAAGAAATTATCATGGTTAAATAAATACTAAATTCAAAATCAGAGTTCTATGTTTGGAATAACTAGCCATTTTATGAATATTTTTATGTGTCTATATTTATGGCTTTATTCTTATCTAGTTTGAAGATAAAATTTACAGCTTGAACTTTTAGTTTAGTAGTTTAAGTGGTGTTAAAGGCATATTTCTGTTAGAAATGAAACACTATTTCATTACCATGAACTTGAAACATTTCACTTATAGTTCAAATTTTTTTATTTGAGTTTCTCAATTTGAATCATCTAAGTCAACTTTCTTACCATTAGGACAATATAACATGACATCCAGAATATCTAATGCTTTAACAGCCTTTGTTAAAAATAAAAATGACTTGCTTTATTTGCAACATAAAGTAATCCAGTGAAGTCTCAGGGAAGTTTTTGTTTCAATATCTGCATATCATCCAAGTACAGTTCATGCAGCAAGGTCTTTTTTTATAAACAACATCACGGTTAGAGCATGCAACATAATACCCATTTTGCTTTAAAAAGAGACTTCTGTGGATTACAAACTCCTAGCCGGGGAACATGTCAGCTACCAGCCATGCTATAAAAATAACTTTAAAAAGGAGCAAACAATAGGCATTACAGCCCCAGCCCTTGAACTCCAGTAGAAACAGATCCTGTCCACTAAGTCCCCAGAATTAACCTAACGAAGACCACGTACCTCACGACATGACCACAGCCGCTCACAAGTGAGACAAGCTCAGGGCTGATGACTGAGCTGGCTTGAAAGACAGAAAAAGCGAGCAAGCCCTAGTCCACCCCAAGTTTGAAAGGAGGATGAGGAATATGCCTACCACCGAGGCGCAGAAAAGGCTGCTTTTTGTCTTCAGTGAGGATTGATATCATAACCCATTGTCCAGGGAATCAAAAAAAAAAAATTAAAAGGCACCCACCAACAAGGAGTACAAAAACCAGGGGGGCTTCAAGGAGACTGCGAGGAAGGCGCGCTTCCTGTTTGGTGTGCAGTGGCTTAGGGAGAAAAAATGTCGCCCGGGCAGGAATGACAAATGCAGTACGCCAGGCTCGCGGGCCTGAGGGACCCGCTTCCCTTCCACACACACCCCGGTGCACACTCCCACTCATCCTCTCGATATGCTTTTTTTTTCCACATTTTTTTCACGAGCTCCAAATCCCCGGCATATGACCTTCTGTTAAATAGATAAAAAAAAATTGCTTATCAGTCATGCAAATGAGCCTGAATTCATTTTCCACAACAGATGGCCTCATAGATAATGATGATGGAAGAGGGAAAATTGAACGCCTCTCACGAGGTGGCCATGGCAACCGAGAGCAGAATAATATCAATAATAAGCTCACTGCATAATAAGGTTGTCAGTCCCACAAATCAAAGTCTCCAGCTAAATCAGGTACACCTCCCCAGCCAGTTACCAGGTAAAACGATAGATATGCGTGTGCTGCATTTCACAGTGACCACAAAGGAGCTAGAATTTCAAGCTTTTCTGTGCAGGAGCCTATGAGCGTGTGGGGCGTGTGTGTGTGTGTGCGTGTGTTGGGGTGTACTTGGATAGTCAAATGGCGATGTGACATATTTTTTCTTTTCTTTCCCTTCTGTGCTGTGGCCTGCAGTGGACCTGCTCTCATGAAGGACCTCTCCATGGCCATGTTGAAACGGGTTGTGCGGGTTGCAGCCCGCCCCGCCCCCACCCTGTCGGATGCGTGGCTGCATGGAGGCTGTAGCAGGCTGCCTCAGGCTTCCACCTTGGCTCCCAGGGGGACATCCTGCAAAATGAATCAGCAGCCGTCCTGAGCAGGCTGATTAAAATGAAAATGGCAAGGCACATGTCTGGGCGGAACTGGAGCTCAGCTCTGCTGCCTGTCTGGCAAGCATGCTCAATATAGCTCTTGCTAATAATGGCTTACTGCCTTTCGGTTTTTTTAAAAAAAAGGTATCGCCCTCTCCCCGCCACACATCCCAATGTGTGTGCGCGTGTGTGCTCGTGTGTGTGCTTGTGTGGGGGGCTGTGCTCGTGTGTGTGTGTGTGGTCGGGGGAGATGGCAATGAATTGTTCGGTTCTTTATATCTCTGCTGCTCGCACACAGACTGCCTGCCTGCCGAAAACAGGACCGTGAAACTGCACTTACCTCTGTCTTTCTTCTGGGTGGAGGGGCAGCTGATAAGTCTCGGGATAAAATAGCCAGTTAGAAACTCAAGCTGCCTAAGAGACCAAGGCAACATTTTTTCACACCTAGATATGATCATTTCTAACCAAATCCTGGGCAACAGACCTTAAGAGATCTCTAATGGTGCCTCCCAGGCTCACAGTTGGATGCTCTGAAATGCAGCCTCCAAAGAAACCTATTTCTATTTCAAGCATTTGCAACCAGCCTGTTACTGTATCCTAGATATTATGCAACATAAAGCACCAAAAATAGAAAAATGAAAGGTGATGAACGGATGCAATCATCTAAAAAAATTTAGTAAATCTCTGACTTCTAAAAATTTTTCTCGGGTATAGCTTTAAGATTGCCCTCAGATAAACCATACTTTTCGATATCTCTGTCAAAATTTTCAGGTTTTTTTTAAAGGCATTCTGGAAATTAGATCATTACCATCTCTCAGCAAAAATGCCTTGAAAATTAGAAGAGAGGGCTTTTCTGAATCCACTCTGTTCCACTCTTCCCGTCCATTTCAGTTCACCTGATTAACAATCTTTCAGTTTGCTGTCCGAATGTCCCCTGTTAGGTTTGGGTCTCTTTTGGTAACAGATGCACGATTGCCTTGTGCGATGATATGCATACACATGCATGCTTGTGTTCATATGCACAGGCGCCTCTTTGCCCCCAGCGGCTCCTGTCGGGGGCGCGCGCTGCGCCCCCAGCCCGCTCCGCTGCTGCGGCCGCGACTCAGAAATCAATAGAGCTGCCCTAGTGGAGACTCCGCTCGGCGAGCAGCTGCAGTCCCCCTCCTCCCTCTCCCTCCTCCCTCTCACACCCAGAGAGCTAGTGACGTCTGCGCAGCTTTTTCAGCTGATTGGGCACCACATCGGATGTTCCACGGAGCAAAGAATAGGCATCATTTATAGTCGGTGGAAAAAAATGGGAGCATGTATTCTCCTGTGTCTAAGACCCTGATCCCGAGCCCCCCAGACACCCAGCCGTGCTGATAAAGGACGGTGCTGCAGGTTGTGTGGTCGCGGTGGACTCCAGGAGGGCTCCGCACCCACTGCAGGCCTGTAACCACACAATGGGAGTGGTTTCCATTTTTCAAAGAACAAAGGCTTCCTCGGAATAAGAGGCAGAATAAAATTTACAGAAAAAAAGAAATGAATGTTTAGGTTAAACAGTGAGTTCCAGTACTCTATTTAAGGGTTTGAATATATGTGACTATTTAAAAATACTTCCAAGTACACATTTAAAAATAAAGAGCGAATGAAAAGTGTATATATGTGCACAAATACATACACACATATGTAGTTATTCCCTGTGAATTTCTCTGCCTTATCTTAGCTGTGTTAGCAGTAAGTTCAGTTTTTATCCTCAAATATCTCATCTTACAGTAAGTAGAAAAGGAATCTTTAACGACGCTAAGCCACAGTATTTTAGACCACAAATTTACATATGTGAATATACTTCTTACGCGTGTGCGTGTCTATAAAGATACACTGTCTATTAAATACTGGGCTCCTGCCCACATGCAGAAACATGTGTACACACACACGCCACACGCACACGCGCACGTACACACACAGACACAACCTTGCTTCACAAGCTGTGATGCCTAACCTGCAGGTGCGTCTCACTGAAAGGACAGGAGCGCGGCACCTGGGTTCCCACCTTACAGGGGGGCACGCTGGGCACAGCAGCAGGCACATGCCTGCCCTCACCACGCAGCCAGCACATGGGCCCGCCCTGCAGAGGACCTGGCTCCAGCCGCGCATTCGTCCTTTCCAGCCGCCCTCTGAAGCTGAGACTGCGGCACTCAGATGGCCGGGAGGAGGGAAGAAATGAACGAATCGTGAAGCCTCGGAACGCGCAGCAGCGCAGTGTTGCAGTCGGCATCTTGCAGCTTCCTTGTAGACGCACCTAACAGAGTAAGATTTATTAAAAGTGGAGTCTGGGCCGCTGCAGAATGGCACAGTAAGCAAAACCCCTCAGGACACGCACGAGATTGGGGGCACTTCAAAGACTGTTTCGAGGAAAATCTTTCTGTAGTTTGCAATTAAACCATAAAACGAAACATCTTTTGATTCCAAATATCTATCAAACTCCTAAACTATGTCTAATCTACTTTATGATGCCCTTAGAAGTTCATTGTATAGATTTTATAGATTAAAGCTTTTATTAGGAAATTCATAGCTTATCTCCATAATTAATTAATTAGTAAGAGAACAGAAATTGAGTATGCAGCCCCTTCTAATGAATATGTCCTTCAGTTTAACACACAAAAATCTCCAGGTACTCTCGTGTCTTGAACTACAAAACACAGAATATACCCTAGGTTGATTTTCAACCATCAGAATCTTGTTGCAATCGCTCCAACAGCAGATGGGTCTCTCGTAGCACAAGGAGGACTGTCTCTTCGCTTCAGTTCTGGACTTCTGGGCAGACTTGGGTCTCTGGTCTCCGTAGGGACCCTTCCTTTCCCACACACCCTGTGCCTCACACGAAGGTCAAGGTGAAAGGCCAGCTCTCCACGTGGACCAGGAAGATGACCCGTCAGAGTGTTGGTTCAGGAAGCTGATGTGTCCTAAAATACCTTCTTTGCTTTACTTCAGAATTGTATCTGCAGCAGTGACAGAGTGGCGTGATGCACAGAGGATTGTTAGTCACGAAAAACAGCAGTAAATAAAGTCATTACAGTGGGTAGACAATGGTTAAAATCCAGAATCCAGATGTCTGTGCATCCCTGTGTACACCATGCAAAATTTGGCACTTATGTAACCTACTCCATCCAAAGCTAAACTTGCAGAGTTAGACATATGTGTGATAAGGGCTATTTTATTCATGTATTCGACAATGATAAAAATGGGAAACCCATTTTCACTGCAAATAATTGACTTCAACTAGTCAAAACATCTGTAGAATCTTCATGAGTAACTGATTAAAAGGAATAAGGTTTAGGTGATTAATTGAAAACAGAAGAATGAATAAATTCTAGGGGTCATTTCACAAGGAGGAGCTGGCATGTCAAGTACATTATGGGCAGAAGGAAGTTGGTTGTGTGATCTCACCCCTGTGCTGGATTCGAAAGGACTGCCCTTGAACTCAGAGGGGCTCACGGAAATGCTTTTGGGTCTGTCTTGGACTGACTATCCCATTGCATGTTAATCGATATTGGGGGAGTCTGGAGAAATAAAGCATTCATATTCAGGTTTTTAGAGAATCTATGATTTTATAGATCTGGTCTGATTTTATAGAACTGGTCATTTCTTGGCAAAACGTATAGATATAAATTGTATCAAATGTAATTCTGAGCTCTAAAAGACCATTGAGAATTTAAGGTTTGGATGATTAAAGCCAGCAAACTAGGATAATCTATAAAATATATTTATCTCATCCCTAGGTTCATAATTTTAAGAACATGATCTACATTTTTACCAAAACAAGAAACATTCAATTCATCTTTGGTAGTCCAATAAATCCAGACACCCAAGTCTTCCGACAAGTCTTTCCATCACGACCACCCTCTGGATGCCTGCTCTCTTGTCTCTGAATGATCTTGCGTCTGGAGTCTTTCCATCACATACTCCTGTCCTTGCATCGTCAGTTTAATGTCTCTGCAACCATTCGAGTGGTATGAAAGGAAGGGACGTATGCATCTTAGCTTATGAGTACATGTAACAGTGCTGGTACAAATCAAGGGCTTATTAAAAATGCTTCGATTCCTTTTCCTGTTCGCTTATGGGTCTCATCACTAAACTTAAAAATATGTATTTGTAGACACATTTTAGACCTTCCTGTATTAGGAGTTGAAGTTTTCTTCATTGTACTGGGCATAGTATTAAGTGTCACGTATATCTAGAATAGTTTCAGTACTGAAAGTCATTTGGAAAAAAGAATCTAGAAAAAAACACAGATGGAGAGAAGATACTAGAGATTGACAGGAGAAGGGGCCCTGACTGTCAGTCATTCTGTTGCTCACAGTGCAGTGAACTTTTTCTTTCTTTTTGAGTCTCCAGCATCTGAACCTTCTTCTTGTACCCAGGACCACCCCAAGACTTGAGTCTCCTTAGTTCACAAAGGTAGGGACTGCCTCTCACTATAGATGCTAGAATTATTAGGCATTTATTTTTCTGACTTTCCTTACAGCTAAGATGTGGTCACATGAGCTACGTGGTAATGTGATTTATGACATGACCACCCTAGGTGGCGAATCGGTGGTCACAAAGAAGCACGACCCTCAAGATCATTCCATGGTGACAATGGCAGTTGTGTCACCACTAATTCCCTGGAGGCAGAACGGAGTGTCTTCTGCTTGTGGTGGGAACAGCCCTGTCCTGTTGCAGACTTAGAGACTGTTCTTACTGAGCTAGCCTGGAAGTCTGATATTGTGATGTCCTAGTAGCTCTGTCTTTTCAACTTTGGCAGCCAGCATATTTACTTGTGGCTATGTACACGGAGTAATACAGGTATTGATACTTAGGATGTGGCAGACACATCAAAACAGGAGAAATAGCAGAAATTAAGGTTCCTTATTTCACTTGGGAGAGAGAATCTGGCAAGTTAGGAATTTGCCTGTCATGGCACCTGAGGGCAAAGCAATTAAGCAATCAGCCATGGCCACAAGTGATGATCTGCTGAGCTGAAAAAGAAGGTTCTATTTGATTTGCAGAACTGAGGACTTTGATGTCTTTTACAAGATGTCTGATATGAGGCCCTCCGTGAAGATTCCATGTCCTCATCCAGTCCTAGAAATGAGTGGGCATCTCAAATGAAGGGTGTCTTTGGAGAAAGACCTTGCAGTACCATAACGAAAATTTAAGCGATCTTTCTTAGATGACCCGGCAGCCGTTTGTCAGGGTATATCATACAGGGAGAGGGAAACACCCAGACTTTATGGGTGTCACTGGACCCCGGCTGCCCAAATTCCTGGGAATATAGAATATCATGTGGTCCACTGGGTAAGTGGGGACTTATGACACATTAGTGCAGGGGACCTTACACCCTACCTTTCCCTCCAGATTTCTAAGGGAAGATGTAAAGAAGACATTCAGTGATTTGGGAACCTCCACGTTCCATCCCTAACAAATAGGCTCAACATAGTACATCAAAAGCGTCGCAGCCTTGCTGGAGCAATCACACCTCTAGTCCTGAAAGCCACAGCCTGGGGAGGCTCCTCCCGCCCTTCCGTTCACTGGCTCGGCCGGTGCAGGAGCAGCCCCAGAGGCCGGCGATGACAAACAGGAACACTTTCAGTCAAGGGGTGTCGCTCCAAATGCACTTCACTCAAGCAAATCAACACCCGCAGAATAAGGTTTTATCCCCACAGGAGAAGGGCCCAGGTCGTTTTTCCCTTCGTGGACTGGGAGCAGTAATATGTTGCCACGGTCCGGTCTCAGGTTAAGTTGATTCCACAGCCTTGCAGAAAACAGGCTCATTCCCACACAGGACAAGAGGCAAAGACTGCATGCTGAAAGCCTCAAGGGGAGGGGCTGGTTGCCTCTAAATTCTAGGCAAGAAATAGTCTCACCAGAGGCCTGGAGGCTAATTCAGTAAAAATTTGGGGACCTGCATGGAAGGAAGCTATGGGGCTGACTGTCTGGGCACATCTGGGTTTTGTCTACAGACTGGGGACAAGACGCTGTGCTCTGGGCTTCCTCTTTTGCATCTCTGGTTACTGGGAGGATGAGACAAGGTGGGAATGTCACTGACTGAGGAGCTTGATCCTGATTATCAGGGAGCCCAGGACACCGCTGCGCAGAAGGAGGATGTAAAAGCAATGGTGGGGGAGCAGCTCCTGGGCACTTTTTAATGACGCCAGGCTCAGCGGCAACCGCTGCAGGAGGCCCAGGGCCGCCCTGCGCAGACGGACGCTCAGGCTCCTTTCTGGCAGTGGAGACTCCTGGGGCCCCTGGGAGGGGGCCCGGCCCCACAGGGGTGTGGCTGGAGACACAGCGAGAGAGCGGCAGGTGGGGGGCCGAGTGTCCATGGGGGCCTGGGAGGCGAAAGGGGGGCTGCATCTAACTGTGTGTCCGTCCAACACCCCGAACCCTGGGCTAGTGCCCTCTCCCTTTCCCGTACCAGGACACCACTCGGCCTTCCATATGGGGCGGCTCTTCTCCATCCGAGCAGCCATGGCATTCATGCTCTAACCACGGTTTATCTTCTGATTGCGTGAGAAAATCCCTCAGGACAGGGCAGCCTTTGGTCCAGAGTCCACATCATGTCAGGAATGAAGCTAGAAACGAAGCTCGCGAAACCCCACGCTCCGGCTCCTCTCCCCGCCTATGACAGCATCAAGAAGGGAGAGATTTCAAAAGGAGAGACATGTTAACAACCTATCTCTGATGTATGATCTCCTTAATGTGTAGGAAGGGGACAGTTCAGTTCAGTTCAGTTCAGTTGCTCAGTCGGAAGGGGACAGCTCCCACTTAATCTTTTAATACACCCCACAGCAGGGGTTCTGCTTCCCAATTAGAGTGAAGATGCCTTTGTTTCTATCTCCTGCTTTTCTCGAAACGTACACAGAAGCTAGGCAAGCAGCATCAGGACCAGTCACACGGCATCTCCTGGGAGCCCCACCTTGACCTCCAGAATCAGAATCTGCACTTGAATATGATTCCCAGACGGTTTGTGTGTAAAGTTCGAGGAAGATGAGCTTAGATCACATTTTCCAGTAGAAGTGCAACGTGAGCTTCAAATGCAGCTGAAAGCTTTCTAGTTGCTCCGAGTAAAAAGAAAACAGAAATGGGGAAAATAAACCTTCATAACATAGTGCATTAAATCTGATATACCTGGAATACCATTATTTCAAAATACAATCAGCATAAGATATATTTAAAAGATATTTTGCATATTTTTGTGTTTCTATTTTTATTGAGATAGAATTGGCACAGAACTTTGCACTAGTCTCGAGCATAACGTACTGATTCAACATTTGCACGTACAGTGAACTGGTCGCCGCAATTGCGAGCTCTGCAGTCCCCAGGAGTCGCGCGTGGAGTCGGCTCTTTCTCCAGGGCTCAGGGGCCGTGGTTGTCTTGTGACTGCTGATCAGACTCCCAGAGAGGATCCACCACTTTCCTCTCCCGTCTCTGGGGTGTCACAGGTCCAATGGGAACCCCCGGAGCAGAGAATTCAGAGGAAGGCCTCGCAGAGGAGTGTGAGGTGACGACGGTAAAAACCAGAGGCCCAGCGCGTTTCCACACAGGTGTCGGCAGGGGCGGCGGTGGTCTAGTCGCTCGGTCCTGTCTGACTCTTTCCGCCCCATGGACTGCAGCCCACCAGCCTCCTCTGTCCATGAGATTTCCCAGGCAGCAGTGCTGGCACGGGTTGCCATTTCCTTCACCAGGGTGTCAATAGCAGTAAACAGTGGCTGACTGTGGACGGATGTCTGCTCGGCCTTGTTCAGGCCCGAGAGACCTCTCTGGTTACTTCTCTGCTTCAGCATGGGCGTCGCTGTGACTCTATAGGCGTCTGACTCTCAGTCTACTGGGGGCTTTCTTACATGTCGTGGAAGCCAGGCAGGGAGACTCAGCACAGCACGCTGGGTTTTGGGGGACTCAGCCCACCCTTCCCATTCCCTGGGGGCTCTGGTCTTCCTTGCCTTCTCCCTGCAGTGCCCTGTCCATGCCCACGTTTCAGGGCTTGAATTTTGTTGGGCTCGGCCTGCCATGTGCTCACCGACCTTCCCAGAAGTCCAGCGTGGACAGCACGTGTGTTGCGTTTCCTTCTCTGCCTTTTCCAGCATCGGTTTCCAAGCCTCTCCCTGCACTGACCGTTGTTATTGTGGGTGATGGGAGGTTTACAGGAGGATGGTCAGCGGGCTTTCCAGAGCCCTTTCTGAGCGCACCATCCAAAAGCAGGCTGTTTTTCCCTTGAACCTGCTTTTACTCTCCCCAGGAAAGAATTCAAGGGCTGGAGCTGAGTACCACCCTGTTTCCTGGAGGCCATGAGAAAGGGAAATTGATGGTTGCCCGCTGTCTAGATTGATTTAAAGGAGTTGCTCATTTTAAAGATGATATTAACATATGTGATGAACTGATATTAAAATTATAGAAAAAGTGAAAGGGAAGTTGCTTAGTCATGTCCGACTTTGCAACCCCATGGACTATAGGCTACATCAGGCTTCTTGGTCCATGGGATTTTCCAGGCAAGAGTACCAGAGTGGGCTGCCATTTCCTTCACCAAATTAGAAGTAAAAAGGCCACACTAGAAACTGTTAGTGTCATAGTTTAGGAAACTGAAGCCTAGCGTAGTGGGGAGTGGCTCACTCTCCAGGATGGTGCGGGAGACGTGGGGAGGGAGGCGGAGGTTTCACAGTTTGACGCCAACGTGAGCTTCTGATACAACAGAGCCGCTCTCTGGAGACGACATGCCACTTCAGAGACACCTAAGAATGTTTGGCTAACAAGGAATTAAACACTAGTTTATTCGTGAACCTATAAGGCTCAAACTAGGACGTGAACTCGGATGAAACATCATCTGCCAAGGATCTCCAAAAAAATGAGCTCTCCAAAGATCTCCAAACCGGCTCCAAAAGACGGATCTCAAAGACAAGGCTTAGGCCAAGTCTGAGGAAGCAGGATGGATGTGCTGTGCGCCTTGAACTGGGTCCAGTACACCAGGTGAAAAAGGGAATTAATGTACCAGGTATGTCGCAAAGTGCTCTCCACGCATCATTCCATTGAACTTGAAAGTCAGGAAACATATCTATAAAGTAGTGTGCTTCAACAGATATCCAGACTTAACTCGTTCAAAAACCTCTACCCTGTGATCAGAGCCACGGTGATCCCAGAGTTGGGCTTCACTCTTCAAGACAAGCTTGGGAACCCTCAGGGATGCTGGCACACCTCATATTATTTCTTCAGGGCAGGAAAATCTTCATTCTTGAAAGACAAATTTCTAGGAAAAGCCAAAATCATTCAAAAATCAATCCCAGTAGATAAAATAAACACTACACTTATTCATAGCCTTTCGAGGCAAAGACCAGTCATCAGAAGCTGGCCAGGCCAAGCCTCCAGCGGGAGCCTCTAAACTGGCTCCAAAAGACGAATCTCAAAGACGAGGTCACACGTGCTGATCAAGGCTGTCAGGCAGGTGCTCGCCAGCGCAGACCTGAGCACAGAGGGTCATCGGGTCACTTGTTGAGGAGGGGGCTCCCTGGGCCCTGGGTCGTGGAGAAAACCAGAGCAGCTGAAGCAAATGCAGTAGCGGCAAAAAAGAACCAGCAGAGCTGAGCTGGTGTGCAGACGGGCTGGAAAACAGCTGTGGCTGGGGAAGTGCGTGGGCCTCAGAGTCCAGAGGGGATCGGCCGGCTCTGCCTTCAGCAGGAGCCAGCATCTGTGCCGGAGGCCTGCGTTCGAAGGGGACGCTCAGGAGGTGCTCCTCCGTGGGGCTGGCCCTCCACCACCCTCCTCTGCTCCGCAGGAAGGGCTGCTAGGGGGCTGGGGCCGGCCTGCGGCGGGGGCGGGGGGTGGGGGGGAGACAGCAGGGGGCCCAAAAGGGGCGGGTGGGGTGCAGAGCGTGGAGGCTCCAGGGAAGGAGAGCAGACAGCTGGCCTGGCCTCACAGGTCAGGGGATTCCGAGAGAGAAAGGTACACGGGGACAGAGAGTGCGGTGTGTGTACTTTAGGCATCATAGATTTATTTTCTATTTTATTTTTCAAGTTATTTGTTTATTGTCATTCATTAGAAAATGCAGATAAACAATAGAAGAAACATGAGGTAAAATTCTACCAAGCAACTTTAATGCAGTCAGCACTATGTTATCCATGCCCAGAGATTTTTAAAAATTGCATTCTACTAATTATATACAATGATAAAATACATTCATCTGACTCTTTTTATTTTGAGAATCCCTATTTTATCCTCTAATTTTTAGTCTTTGGTTACCAAAAATTGAGAGAACTGAACCATCACTTATTTATCCAACAATATTTGAAAAAAAATGGAGATTGAAAATTCAAAGAACTTTTAAACTAAAAGAATCTTATAATATTAATGTCTCACTTACCTTTACAGTTGAGGAGATGGAGGCCCCATAAATTAAGTGTTACCTCTTCTAGGAACTCTGCAATAATTGAGTTGCTAGCCAGTACATTAGACAACTTGACTATATACATGCAACCTAGGTATTGCAAGGGAGGCAAAACAGTCTTAAAAATACGTCGCCTTTTGGCCAGGATTTTATATTTTTGTATTTGAATTTATGCTAGAGGTTCTAGCTAATTTCTGTGCTGGGACAAAAGGAGAAAAAAGAAATTATACATTGATATACTATTACATATGAGTTACATATGTATCTATAAGCATAGTTATATCCTAAGAATATATATAGCTATATTATTTATATAAGCTACATATATTGTTTAATAGTTCAGTTCAGTCACTCAGTCGTGTCTGACTCTTTATGATCCCATGGACTGCAGCAAGCCAGGCCTCCCTGTCCGTCACCAACTCCCAGAGCTTACCCAAACTCATGTCCATTGAGTCGGTGATGCCATCCAACCATCCCATCCTCTGTCATCCCCTTCTCCTCCTGCCTTCAATCTTTCCCAGCATCAGGGTCTTTTCAAATGAGTCAGTTCCTCACATCAGGTGGCCAAAGTATTGGAGTCTCAGCTTCAGCATCAGTCCTTCCAATGAACACCCAGGACTGATCTCCTTTAGGATGGACTGGTTGGATCTCCTTGCAGTCCAAGGGACTCTCAAGAGTCTTCTCCAATACCACAGTCTAATATAGTCTATACAATAGTATATGTCGAAAGCCCAAGAGAATCTGTAGCTGTTAGAACTGTGAGAGTGAAGCCTGGTTTCTGAGGATGAGATCTTCACCCCGGGAGTCTCTCCTTGGTACCCTGCTGTCTCACAGACACAGGCATCCTGTGCCGTGCTGCCCAAGTCTGAGTCCCGGACCCCTGCTCCGTAGCTCTGGGCCCCTGGACCTCCCCTGGGCCCCTCACCTGCACTGTAGGGTACTCGGAGCACCACTTCAGGGTTGCTCTGAGGATTCGACTTCATTCCTGCAAAGTGTAGAACACATTTCGACAGCACTTATTGGCTCGTAGTACATGTTTCATTGATGCTGGAGAATATTATCATTATTGTTGTTAATATAAATAAAGACAGTGATTTCCTCTGGGAAGGAATGGGGGGAGGAAAGAGAATGAGACTTTGGAGGGAAGCAAAGAGACCTTAACTTGTAGCCAATATTCTATGTATTTTAAAACTTGAAGCCAAAGGGCAGCATGATTACATCAGGCAATCTCGGTTGACATACACTTGGTATCAGAGTATTCTTTCATTTTTCCATATGTCTGAAATTGATCATAGTTTAAAATATGGGTAACTCTTTCCAGCATAGCCTAATACCAATTTCTTTCAATCTTTATCCCCTCCAATGTAACAATATTAATACACAAGTGTTTTTTGTTGTTGTTATTTTGTCTTTTAATCTTTCAAAAATCTAAGCTACAGATACAGTAACATGACACAAAATAGACGAAGAGCCTCCTGAATTATTACAAGGAGAGCACTGTGCTGACCGCCATCCAGGTCACAGCCCGGGACATGGCTAGTGCCCCAAAGCCACGGAAGCCTCTCGGCGCTCTGTTCCGACACCGCTCACCTCTGTCCTCCCCCGTGTTCAAGCCTGTCCCGTGGAGCCCCCACAACTTGTCTGAGCTCACACGTGGGGCAATTCAGTGTATCCCCCTGTCCCCTGCTGCAAGAGACGCAGACTGGGTCCCTGGGTTGAGAAGATCCCCCGGAGGAGGGCATGGCATCCCACTCCAGTATTCTTGCCTGGAGCATCCCATGGCCAGAGGAGCCTGCCAGGCGGCAGCCCATGGGGTCACAGAGAGCCAGACATGCCTGAGCACTGTCCCTGCATCCTGCCAACTGCCTCTGTCCGGCGGGTCTTGAGCAGGTCGGGGCCCGTGCCTGTGGCGGCCCTGATGGGAAGCCCCTCATGTCCGGCTGTGTGTTTGTGATGTTACCAGCCCATGCTGCACAGTGACTAGATCCAGGGATTCAGTGAAGTCTGCAGAATGCCAGTGTTCTAATTCACAATGTGTTTTTGCTTTACTAGAATATTTTCACAAGGAGAAGCTCACACTCACCTACTGTTTGGTCTCTCAATAGGCTTCGTGGAGGAGAGGCACAGTAAGGGTTTGATGTTATCTTTTTATTTACTGTTGTCAAAGTAATTAATTTGTTCCCTATCATCCTCCAAAGGGGACCAATTAGGTTTCCTAAAATTTCTTGCTAATAAGCATATTTAAACATATCCAACAGGCTTCTACATTGGAGAAGGAAATGGCAACCCGCTCCAGTGTTCTTGCCTGGAGAATCCCAGGGACAGGGGAGCTGGTGGGCTGCCATCTACAGGGTCGCACAGAGTCGGACACGACTGAGCGACTAAGCCCAGCACACAGGCCGCTCTAGACAAGAATGATTTCACAGCCGCCTGATTTTCTCCACAGGGCAGGGGTGCTTCATCTCCAGTCCTTAACAAACCCGAGAGTCATCTATTACATGAAGTAAGTGTTCAAAGATATACTGAATTGGAGAAAATTCTCACCCTATGCATTGTCCCACTACCATTAGAAGATCAAACATGTTTGAGGGAGTGTAGTAAGCTGACTAGAAGATCTGTTAGTGTGGCTTCAGACCCACACACACAGAAGATGGCACTTTAAACCCTGAGGATGCAGAGACCCTCTCCAGACACTCAGCAGTTCTGAAACAAGAGGGGGCATTTTCTCAGGATTATGAGATTTGAATGGAGCTTAAGGAAACATGCATTACTCTTCTGAGCACAGAAGTAACACTCTGGGCCGCTACTGCCCACTGGGGCCCATTTAAATAGTTATCTCCAGCAGGCCCATTTAAATAGTCATCTCCAGCGGGCCCATTTAAATAGTCATCTCCAGCGGGCCCATTTAAATAGTCATCTCCAGCGGGCCCGCTTCGAAAGCTCAGTTCAGTTGCTCAGTCATGTCCGACTCTTTGCAACCCCATGGACTGCAGCACGCCAGGCATCCCTGTCCATCACCAACTCCCAGAGATTGCTCAAACTCATGTCCATCAAGTCAGTGATGCCATCCAGCCATCTCATCCTCTGTCGTCCCCTTCTTCTCCTTAAAAAAAGAGACACAAACATTTTATAAAAATAAAACCAAATTAGAACACCAAAGAAATGATTTAAAGAAAATAAAGATTAAAAAAAAACCCTTATCTTAGCAACCCTACTATTATTAGTCTTGAGTAATATGTCTATTTTGCTGGTGCTGATCTGTAGTAAATTATTATTTTGAGGACATATTTGACCAACTACGGGGAAGGTGGATAAATACTTACAATACGTCAAAAGTAGATTGGCAAGGGTGGGATGATCTGAGAGAACAGCATCAAAACATGTATATTATCAAGGGTGAAACAGATCACCAGCCCAGGCTGGATGCATGAGACAAGTGCTCCGGCCTGGTGCACTGGGAGGACCCAGAGGAATCGGGTGGGGAGGGAGCTGGGAGGGGGGATCGGGATGGGGAACATATGTAAATCCATGGCTGATTCATGTCAATGTATGACAAAACCCACTACAATATTGTAAAGTAATTAGCCTCCAACTAATAAAAATAAATGGGAAAGAAAGTAGATTGGCAAAAAAGCCCGAGAAATCAAGTATTGAGCTTCCACGCCCAAGGTTAACTACTGTGCACATTTTGTTCGACTTCAAAATAATAAAAACATGCTTAAACACAAAGATCCTCTTGTAGTTTCATGTTTTTTCTGTATTATTTGCATCACCACACACACACCAAATCTTGTTTTCACTTATTCTCTTTGGTCATTTTGATCAATTTCACAAAACAAAAGTGCGTCCAGGCATGGAATTCACCTAAAACCACAGGATAGCCTATATTTTAGTAGATTTGTCCTTTTTGTATTAATTTCTGTCAGATTTAAGCCTTATATTTTTGTAGTTGAAGTATAATTTGATCTCTTCCAGATATACTAAGTACTTATTTTTCTCAACTCTTAAACTTTAGGACCTACAGCAATGAAGAGAAATTTGTTTCTACAATTTTTTTTTTTACTTTCTCAGTAACTTCCACCATGTTCTTTTTTTATCCTGTGTAACTTCTAAAATAAATTTTGGAGTTATGAAACATGAATATTAAAGCTTTTTCTTGTGCGTTATGTTCACAGTCACTGCGCCGAAGCCTTGAAAACGCAGAGACGCATTCAGGCTGACGGAGCCTGCCGCCCGGCGAGGAGCCTCTCCTGCCCTCTGGTCACCCCCTGTCTCCCAGGCTTGGAGCTCACGCCGTCCGGCATCAGCAGCCTTTCTTGATTGCTAGCTGCAGCGCCTCTGGGGTCCAGACGTCTTCTCTCTCTTCTTCACCTATTTTTTGGCCAGAGCGAGATGAATGTTTCTTTCTGTCACTGTTAATAAGCGCCTCTTGGGCCAGTGAGCGGTCACTCGTCCTCTGACCGCGAGGCCTCCCCGCGCTGCTGGCGGCAGGGCCTTGTCACCTCCGCCACCCTCTCCCGAGCTCTTCTTTTGGGCTCGTCATCGGCCTTGCTTGGCA